TGGCATGAACATGTGTATAGTACCATTTCACACATACACAAACATGAATGTGTTTCAGAATAAATAAACTCTCCTTGGCTAAATCGGAACCTCTGTGTGGGGTTATGTTCTTTTATGAAAGAGAAAAAAGTATATGTTAAATAGGTCTTATTTATGTTGGGGATATTATTTCCTTTCCTATAACCTATAGAGAGACAGGAATTATCCTATTTTTTAATAATGCACAGCTTTATATTTAACACATATCTTTTTTCATTTGCAAATGCTATGCTATCATTTATATTTTATCTTCTAACAGCAAGAGTTTACAGCAATAAAACAAAATATAAGCAACTGAATTAGAATAAGACATAAACAGAATATAACAGAATCTACTTGTAAAGTCATAAATAAAGAGATAAGAAGTAGCTGTACTTTAATACATAGGATTTTTCAGGGTGTGAAGGGAATCCTTGATTGAACAAATAAAAATCACCTGTGACACAAGCCTCCATTTTATTGTTGATTAGAAATGTAGAAACATACCAAGATCTCAAGAATGAATTAGGAACCACATATCTAAAACAAGAGTATGTGTGTACAATCTCAAGGGAAATTTATTAGGAAATGGTTATTGCCTAATTGGTTGGCCAGGAAATATATAAGCCAACATTGTATGTTTGTATTATGTGAATGTATTATGAAGCTTTAAGAACTGTGCTGAGTCATTCTGCATCCTGATTGGCTGAGCTCTGTAGCCATTGTATTTAAGGAGAGCTAAATTATGGTTAGTGTGGATACTACACCATTTTTACCTGCTGCTATGCTGTAACTTTTTTTGATCTCTCTATATGGTCAATTGTTTGATCATGATTATTTATTTACTGCTTTCTGATATTTATTGAACTGTTTTTATATTGTTCCTGATTATTCCTTGTATTTTTCTACAAACTGGTAAGAAGATTTTATATCCCTGGATTGATCTTATATTGCACTTTATATGGCTAAGACTTGGATTGTTAAAGGATTATGATTTTGCTTTTCCCTAAAAATAAAATACTATAAAACCCAGTTTGTCTGTATGTTAGTCACAATTACTCGCAAAACGTTTCCATGCGTAAAACTCTAATGATACTCTGCTTTATAAACCACAACTTCGGTGTAACTCAACAATATCCTTAACAAAATTCATTATCTGGGCCACATGTTCTTCACCATATGTATATTTCTGGGACCACCTGGTCCTGTGAATATGTACAGCAATCAAACAACTAAAAAACTATATAGCATGTTTAGTGGCGTGCTTAAAGGGGATACACAAGTTAACAGCAGTTAAGAGAAAAGTAGCTGTTAAGTCCAAACAGTCATATTCAATTGTCAACCAACACAATCAACTTCTCAAAAGATGAGAGAATCAGTCAGTAGCAATAGAAAACCAACTAGTGCTATTTAGTGGCACTTCTGTCATTTTATCATATGTCTACCAGAGAAATGATTGCTTTTTTTCTCTAGTCTTTACAGTTAATACATAAAGACAGCTTTTTCAGGGGCACTGATAAGTAGAGGACATGCCCCAATTTCAAATGCACTGAGACAAAAAGCCACCATCAGCCATTATAAAAAATGGAACACTTAACTTGTGACTGTTCCAGTTAACCCTGTTCCTGATGTCAGCCAAATGACATCTTTCTTATTCAGTCACTTATTCAGCACAAATGTCTTAAAGAAAAGGGGGAAAAAGAAAAGTTTTTATGTGAACAGCTATATTTTTATTTTGTTAAAACTTCAACAATGATGCTTTGATTTGAGTAGAAACCACTAGACTTATTGATACATAAACAAAGTCTTTTTTTCTCCCTCTTGCTTATTTTACTCCTGGTGATGAGAAATGATGTTCTATATATAATAATATTTGAACAGGGCTAAACAAACTGAAATACAATATCAGCTTTCGAAATAGTTGAGAAAATCAGCCTTAGAAAACACCAACAGGTTTTATTTGTATTTGTGATAAGAAATATAGGTTACAGCACTATAAAAAAGTTTGTAAATGAATGCTTCAAAATATATGTTTGCTTATGGGATATTACATATGGCAAATATACATTTGCTTGGGATATTAAACCACTGAACTGTTCTGGAAGTTTCAAACCAATTGCTTTAAAGGCATTTCCTATCAGTGTCCATATTTCTGTTATTAGTGCCAGAAAAGCAAAATGGTAATTCTTGTATTTATATATGGAAACTATTGGGAAGATATGTCTATAGAGATTCTCAGTCATCCAAATCAGGATGGCCTAAAGGTGCTTTTTCAAAAGGCAACTGGACTTTGTTTTTCCTTGAAGACATTTCGCTTCTCATCCAAGAAGCTTCTGACCAAGAAGTCAGAACTGAAGAAGCTTCTTGGATAAGAAGCAAAGCATCTTCAAAAAACCCAACCCCCCCCCAAAAAAAACAACAACAACAACAAAGTACAGTTGTCTTTTGAAAAAGCACTTATGGGGATATTGAAAGAGGCTTTGATGAAGCCACTTCATACTTTCTGGAAGATGATGCCACTTCACAGCACTTCTGGTGTTTTAAATAAAAGTATTTTGTTTGCACCGATGTACATTCCAAAGGCCTCTTTCTAATATTTATTTATTCATCTATCTAAATATTAGACAGCCAGTTTGGATATAGTGGTTAAAGCATCAAACTAAAATTCAGGAGAATGAGTTCCCATCCCACCCTTAGGCACAAAAGCAGCTGGGATGGCTTTGAGCCAGTCATGTTCCCTCAGCTTTAAGAAGGAGTTGCCAAGAAAATTTCAGGTATTTGTTCCAATGGTTGCCATGAGTCAGGTATCTGATTCAAAGGTACAATTATATACACACACACAAACAACAACCAGAAGAAGAAATACTGCTTTTCCAACTGTCAAAGGTATCTGACAGAAACAGCTTCCCATTACTTTAAGATGACATGATGAGGAACTGAAACTTAAAACAATCAGTGTGACATGTGATCACTCATATACACATTGTTTAAATTGCATAATGAACAAATAGAAAAAAAAATAAAGTCAATTCTCCAAATTACTTGTATATATAGCTTTACCATGTTGAGGCAACAAATGCACTGTACTTTTAGCCTAGACCCATGATGGCGAACCTATGGCACGCATGCCACAGGTGGCACACTGAGCCATGTCGCCTGGCACACCAGCTCAGCTCTCAGCCTCTCTTGGAGTCTCTGGAGGCTGGGGACAGCAAAAAATGTCACTTCCTGTGACAACTTTCCTTCCAAAAGTTGGAAAATGGGCCGTTTCAGGCCTCCGGAGGGCCTCGGAGGGGGTGGGGAAGGCTGTTTTCGCCCTCCCCAGATGCATAGAGAGGATCTGGAGCCAGGTGAGAAAGAAAAACGGACCTACTGGGCCATCGTGTGCCGGGAGCAGGGGGGAGGGGGGTTGCGTGTCCATACGTGGGGCAGGGCACATAGAATTATGGGTGTGGGCACGAGGGCACGTGAACCTTCCCTGCCCCCCCCTTCCTGGCACACGATGGCAAAAAGGTTAGCCATCGCTGGCCTAGACTAATGGTTTATTTTGATCTAATATTTGCCACCTGGATGTTAGGTTCAGTTCAATTGTTTCCTAAGGAACCATGACAGAAACAATTGTGAAAATGTCTGGTATGTAGACCCTACATGCCAAAATCAACTTATGAATTAGGATTCCTTGGTTAACAGCCATTCTCAGGGTAGGGATGCTAGCAAGATACATATAAGTAATAGTGAACACAATACTACACTAGAAAAAGAATTAAATAATAATATGTGACTATTTCTTGAGCATGAATATATTCTTTTAGGACATACAAATTTGGTAAAATTTGTAATTTTTCAGCAATATTTATAAAAATCCTGTGACAAGGATACAAAACAATATTAAGAGGTGGATTAAGAGTGAAATAGGACACATTCTTTCATTTTGCAATGCCTTAGAAATCATGGGATTAAACAATTGACATGATATGATTCCTTCAAAAAACTGTAGAATTGTTTTGACATAGATTAATACTAGAGGTATGTCAGGAAAAGAGCCAAGAAACCTGGATTAACATGCAATTCACATAAATATACAAAGGTTGACAGCATCTGAATAATACAACCATTTTATTCTTTGTTTGATATTATTGTTCAATTCAAAACCATTTAGTTTTGCAATTCAAATGATGAATGTTTCTCATTGTTGAAAAAACTGCAGCGACTTTCAAGTTATAAAGACTACAAATAACAATGAGAAGTTCAAGAAGAACACTCCCTTGTCATGATGCTAAAGCCTAAAACACACCTGAGCCTCAAGGGGATTTCTTTCTTGAGAAAATATAGGTGGGTATTTTTATGGGGCAAATTGAGTAGCTATGTAATCACATTAGATTATTTCTTAGATTTGTCTAACATTTTAAGTCAGCCTTATGCCCTTCAGATTTGTCAGATATACTGTACTTAGGTTCACCTATTTGGGAGACTGAATCCTATTTGCATATAAATCAGATATAAAAAAATTATTGATCAAGTGTTTCTATACTCAGAGAGAATGGACAAAATGTAAAGCTGGAAGAATGAAGTCAGGTCCAATAAATATTTAGAAAACATTGCAACGTGGACATTTCTGAAGTAAATATAAGTGAAATAAATCTTCTCAAAAAGTTTATAAATATTTCAGATAAATGCATGTATTTGCAGTATAACATAATACTGTTAAAGAAAGATGGAGACAAATTTACATTGCCATCCATCTCACTTGATGATTGAGTGCAATCATTTTTTTTCTTTTATAAACTTACAAATAGGTAAATTTGTATACCAACATGAGGTATACAGAAAGTGGACTTTGCAACACAACACTAACATTCTATTAAGGAATAGCTGAAGAAAAGAAGATAACTTGAGAGGTCTGAAATTATCAATTTTGTGATGAAGTACAGACAAAAGCTCACCCAGAGTATTAGCTCTGCTTTATTATAAGAGTATATTAACATAATTTTGTAATTCTGAAAGTACATTTCTCCCCATCTCCTTTATAGGCCAGGACGTTGAGTCTCTTCTGAGATGTTTGCCACAACTACATTTCGGCTTCAGGTCAAGTAGCCACTTATTCAAAAACTGCACTGGCTGCAGTTCTTCCCCCTGTCTTCCAAGGTCACCCGAGGTGCTGTGGGATGATTTGGCATGGGCTGTTTACGCAAGAAATGCCCTCAAAAATTCCACAGCTGAAAAAATTCACCATGAGATAGTGAGAAAACCTTCTTCCCAATTATGTCAGAGACACTAGACAGTTATAAGACAGTTATAAGAAATGCCTGCTTGAGTTTATTTTTTCCAAAAAGGACAATAACTAGTAATAGAGCCACAGAAGGAAAAAGCATTTTTGTTGTTATTATTGAATACATGATAGCATAAAGTCAACTTTTTTCAAGTCTTTTCCCAATTATATTACCTTTATTTTTATATATTGTTTGAATGAAGATAGTCCCATTTTTGTATGTTATTATTGATAGTCCCATTTTTGTATGTTACAAAAGACAAAACTTTACATAGTGTCATTTTTCACATGACAATAAGTATAATAGTTAATTGTCATAATAATTAAATTAAAACAAGTTTCCTTTTACTCTTAGACCCTCATATTATTTGTGTCCTTATCCAACTTTCTTCAGAGTGTGAAGTCCTTGACATGCAATTCAAAAATAGTCTGCATGTGGATATATATTCTCCTGTGCTGTTCGGAGGGAAGATTTTGAATATAGTAAATAGCAAATTAAATTGAAAAGCTATAAATTATTCTCCTAAAGCTAAAATATTCATTTAAGATACTTTTTCATACATATATTAGGTTTATGAACACCAGAGTTATAACTGATCCATTGTTTTCAATATTTGGCTCAAAAACAAAACAAAATTTAATCAATTTTTTTTTACACAAAAACAGGAGAGGGATGTCCTAATTGCAATGTCTATAACCATCTATCCATTATAACTTTTTTTTTAGCAAAGAAAAAATATTTGCAAATGAACTGAATATGGATAAGGCCAATTACATGCTCATTTTTTTTACCAAAATTCTACACAGCTTAGTCTGTGATGACTCATAAATAAATTATCCATAAAGCCTCAAGCAGCAAAAATAAATAATGAAATGAATGAAAATGAATGAATGAATGAAAAATAAATAATGTAAAATAGTTAACCCATAGAATAAAGTGTATGGTGTCCTGAAATTGCATCAGTTCTTAATAGGGTTTGCTTCAGATGCCGGACACAATTAGGAATGTCAAGGAAGGCAAAGAGTTAAGTTCAACCAGAAATTTAAAATTACTCCTGTAAAGGTAGTCTTTAACTTACCACCACAATTGAGCCCAAAATTTATGTTGCTAAGCAAGACATTTGTTACGTGTGTTTTGACCCATTTTACAATCTTTCTTGCCATAGTTGTTAAGTGAATCACTGTAAATGTTAAGTTAGTAACGTGGTTGTTTTTGCAACTGAATTTTAAATTCAGACCTTTAAACTTTGATGTAAACCTTCCCAATTTCATACTACATATACTGATTTTTAAAGAAAACTTTTATTCTAAGGTTTTAAGATCTTTTAAAGAGGTTTTTTTTAATGTAGTCTTTGTCTTATACAGTTGAGGTGAAGAGAGCTGCCAAACACACATATCAAGAATTTCCAGTTAAATTATTGTGTAGTTGTTGCAAATCTTTGTTGCTAAGGGAAGAGGGAGTGGCCCGAAATAGTTTTCCAAAACTGTTCCGCAACCTGAAAAAAAAAAGGGAACTGTTAATTCTCCCATTTCCTGTAAAGGATTTTGCTTTTAAAATTTCTACCAGCATAGACATTAAATGTGGCTTAATTCTTGGATGGAAATGGCCTACCTGTGGTTATGTTTAGTCATGTGGTGGCTGTGAGGCATTATTAATCATCTCTCCAGTGGTCTTCAGCCCCTAAGCTTGTCATCCTTCAACTAAATCTCAATGGAAGTTGGCATGACGAGTTGGCTTTTCCAGATGGCAAGTGTGTTAGCTGGGAAGGCTTCAGAATAATAGGAAAATGTGTAATAAAATAACAAAAATGCTCTTTGCTACCACCAACAGTCAACTAAGCTCAAAAGCACCAAGAGAAATTTCAAAGAAACATCAAGCCTCTTTGATATAGAACAAAAACAACCACAGTGCACTATTAGATTCAGAGATTATAAGAAAGTAATTGGATAACCAAATCAATGCCTGCTATTACTTTAGCTTTTTAGCATGACTGCAAAGACTCAGAAAAGTTTAAATAACATCAAGTCCTGTGACTTGATTTAAAAAAAAATAATTCAAGATGCCCCATATCTTCAGGGTTATTTAGAGAAATCCAAGGTAACCTACCATATCTTAAAATACAGAACATCACACACAAGATTGTCCTTGGGAAACTCAAAGATTTCCCATTTTCCATTACAATATATGGCCTGTTTCATAACCCTTTATCCCTATGGTCTCTTATAACATTCACATTTGAAAGCCAGTATTAATTAATTTATTTTTTATTTTATTTTATTTTTATACCACCCTTCTCCTGCGGGACTCAGGAGAATTTAAGGTTTGGGATACCAAGAAGATGTAATCTAAGGATTAATTTGTTCTTAGTGGATATTAATAAGGGTCACTCTGAGTGTAGACCTAATTAGAGCTCTGCATGGATGCTGCCTAGCAACCAACTGGAACCAAGGAAGTTACCTCTTTGAGCTGGATTTTTTTCATACAGTACTAATGCTGTAGTTGCTGTAAATGTTAATACTGATCTGCTCTTCTGAGGCCATTATTTCAAAACTAGTATGTTGCTTTGGTTTCCATGACTAATTTTGCTTCCTAATCATATAGCTTATCAAACTCCTAATTCATTGGATTTATTTATTATAGCATTTTGCCATACTTAGGGCTGCACCAGGGAGGACAGATCCAAGGCCCCCGGAATCAAGGGTTTCCCTGAAGTAATAAGATGAGTTTCTGCAGTGCCCTCATTCTCCCCATTTAAGTTCAGCAAGAATTCTTGCTGCAGAATAATTAAAATCTTGACATACAGGAAGCAACTAAAACTGGGTTATGAATAATGGTAACCTGAAGGTATCCAGAAGACATTTACTCAATATCATCCCTCCAAACCTCAGAAAGGCAATTGCATTCTTCTAATAAGGACTTCAATCCATCTCCCAAACACATTTGTTAAATTTAAATGAATTCCCAAGTGAACTCTTATTTTGTATCAGTATCTTGTGATATTCATAATATATGTCCATAGCAATAGCTAAGTATAACTCTCCATTATAACTGTTCACATAAATCTTTCACATTAGCAATGTTGTGGCAAGCATACAGAATGATAGCACACAAAAGAAAGCTATATCTAAATACATAATGCAACAAAAAAAGCCCTTTCTGATTAAATCTCTGTAAGAAAGCATGGCTTGAGAATGCAGCAACTTCATTTTCTTCTTATCAAACATTTAAGCTATTTATACATCCTCTGATTGTTATCCTACATTACTTGCCAAGAAGCATTTTGAAAGCCCTTTAGCCATTCTTGCTTGGATCTTGAAGATTGTCATGCCAGCCTGGGTCAGTTGCTGAAAAGTATAAACAACTCTTTTGTGTGCTTGAACTTGAAAGAGAAATCAGTCATCTGTATGTGGTCTGTGCAGCAGCAAAATGTAATTTTTTTCCCTCTGACAACTTGTTTATGGTTGTTAAGTTATCTTGATTGCAAAGAGAAATCTGTTTTCTGTAGAGATTCTCTAGCTTAAAATGTCAGCTCCTTCCCCCCACACAACTTTTCCCCCCTTCCTTCCTTTTCTGCTTCCAGCTAATTCACAAATTGAATTGATTCTTTCCTCCCTTGTTAAAATCTAGCAGAGAGACAGTGCAATGGAAAAATCCTGAAAATTAGACATATGGTACTAGGATAGACTTTAAAGATTATTCATTTTATAATCCCTCAATCTCTTTTATGTATATTTTGTGCTTAAACAATCACATCTGGTAATAATGATTCAAAACTATATTTTGTTCCAATGTTCATCTCTTCATTAAAATTGTATTTAATCATGTATGATTAAATTATCAATGAAAAAGCTATTGCAATTCATATTTGTTGCTAGTCCGGGGGGGGGGATCTCTGAGTAAATAGCCATTATGCCTATTTAAAAAGCAATTTTTTTTCCCAAAACAACAAGCATATGTTAGAATAATAATATATCTGTGTTAATTAATGCACAGCTATATATAAAACAGTTAAAATGTTTAATTAAAGAGTAGCAAGAGTAACAATCACAGGAAATGATTTTATTAAAACAAGATTATTTGATGAAGAATATAATGCTAAAAGTATGAATTGCATCACTGAACAAGGGGAAAAATATTTGCATAAGATTTTAAGTGGCAGTTTATAAATCTAGATGCAAATTGAGAAATGATTAATGAATTATACCATTAATTATATTCATTAATCACTCATTAATTATTAATAAACATAAAACACAACACATTTCACTGCATCTGATATCATTCAACCAGGGGTGAAATGATCCCAGTTCGGACCAGATTGCTCGATCCAGTGGCGATGGTAGCGGGTGATTCGGAAAACCGGTAGTAAAAATCCCTGCCCCCCCCCATGCCCAACTGAGCCACGCAAATTTCAGAAGCTTTTTTTTTTTTACTTTTAAAAGCATTTTTTCTACGACCTCTTTGGCCGAAAAAATGCTTTTAAAAGTAAAAAAAATAAAAGCCTCTGATGATCATATGGCTCAGCTGGGATCGTCAGAGGCTTTTAAAAGCATTTTTTTCTGCAACCTCTTCAGCTGAAGAGGTTGTAGGAAAAAAAATGCCTTTTAAAGCCTCTGGCTGCCTGGCTGGCTGAAAAAAGCCTAGAAACTAGTGGATTGTGATTTCACTGAACTATGGCTGCATAAAAATCTTGGTTTACGTAGGAAGAACCTGCCTAAAGAGAAATACACATAAAGGCCTACGAAAAGAAAAGAAAATGTGTGTGTGCATATACATATACACATACACATACACATACACATACACATACACATACACATACACATACACATACACTTTAGCTTGGTGTTTAGAGGAGTAACATTCATGCCGAAGTTCTGAAGTGCTGCAAAGAAAACATCTCCACTGAACTGCATGAAATTTTCTGTCTTTGTTGGAGCGAAGGGGGAGTACCACAGGACATGAAGGATGCAAATATTGTCACACTGTACAAGAACAAAGGTGACAGGGGTGACTGTAACAACTACTGTGGCATCTCTCTTCTTAGTGTTGTAGAGAAGCTGCTTACCTGTGTCGTACTGAAGAGGCTCCAGGTGCTTGCAGAGAGAGTCTATCCAGAATCACAGTGTGGATTTCGAGCCAACAGGTCCATTACTGACATGGTATTTTGCCTTAGACAGTTAAAGGAGAAATGCAGGGAACAAAGACAGCCACTTTTGTAGGCTTCATAGATCTTACGAAGGCTTTTGACTTGGTTAGCAGGGATGGCCTTTATAAAATTGTCCCAAGATTGGATGTCCACCTCAGCTCCTCAACATCATCAGGTCCTTTCATGAGGAAATAAAGGACACTGTAGTTTTTGATGGCTTAACTTCAGATTCCTTTGATATTTGAAGTGGAGTGAAACAGGGCTGTGTCCTCACACCAACTTTATTTGGAATCTTTTTTGATGTCATGCTGAAACATACTTTTGAAACTGCAACAGAGGGTATTTACCTCCAGACCAGATCAGACGGAAAACTCTTTAATCTCCCTAAATTGAGAGCAAAGTCTAAAGTCCAGCTGAAATGCTTACAGGATTTCCTCTTCGCTGCTGCTGCTGCTGTCCATAAAACTGCTTATGGACAGTTTTAGCAAGGCCTGCCAAGACTTTGGACTAACAATCAGCCTGAAAAAAACACAAGTCATGGGTCAGGACATGGATTCACCTCCCTGTATTACAATCTCTGCCAAGAACTGGAGGTCGTCCATGACTGTCACTGCGTTATTTTATTTCCCAGCTGAGCTTCATTATTTTTGGACTAATAGACTTACTGTAGTTTGCCAAGTTCCTTATCAGTAAGCTACTACGCATGTCCATCCACCCACATTCCTTCACACACTTTTCCCTTTGTTCTCTTGCCACGGGTGCCGGTTGCTGAAAGGCAGCTGGCCCAAATTACTTCCAAAATGTAACAATTAACTTTCTTAGTTAGTGAGGTGTTTTATTTTCTTTATAACAAATAAATGAGTTTTATTAGAAACCTTCCTCGCGTTTCTTTTCGGAATATTGCAAACAAGGATAAGCCTCGATTCATCTCCTCTAAACCAGGGTAATTAGTCCCAGAGCCAAACATGGGATTAATAAATGCCCTGACAATGACTTTGTGTACCTTGGCTCAACTATCTCTGACACTCTCTCTTTAAATACTGAGCTGAATAAACGTATTGGTAAAGCGGCCACCACATTTTCCAGATTTACAAGGAGAGTATGGTTTAATAAGAAGCTGATGGAACATACAAAGATCCAGGTCTATAGAGCCTGCATCCTGAGCACACTTTTGTACTGCAGTGAGTCTTGGACCCTCTATGCATGGCAGGAGAGAAAGTTGAACACCTTTCATATGCGCTGTCTCTGATGAATTCTTGGCATCATCTGGCAGGACAAAGTTCCAAATAGTGCAGTCTTGGAACGTGCTGGAATTTTTAGCATGTATACACTATTGAAACAGTGACATCTACGCTGGCTGGGGCATGTCGTGAGAATGGCTGATGGTCGGATTCCGAAAGATCTCCTGTATGGAAAATTAGTGCAGGGAAAGTGCCTCAGAGGGAGACCACAGCTGCGATATAAGGATATCTGCAAGAGGGACCTAAAGGCCCTGGGAATGGACATTAACAACTGGGAAACCTTGACTTCTGATCATTTAGCTTGGAGGCTAAAGACGCAGCATGGCCTTCTCCAATTTGAAGAGACACTTCTTCGGCAGGCTGAGGCAAAGAGGCAGTCCCAGAACCAGTGAAATCTGGGGGCTGGGCAAGGGACAGAATGTATCTGCCCTCAGCGTGAAGGAATTTCCACTCTCGAATTAGCCTTTTTAGTCACACTAGATGCTGTTTTAGGACCTCTTTCTAGAGCACAATACCATAGTCTCTTGAGACTGAAGGATGCCAATGAATGGAATGAGAGGAGTAAGGGCATCCTTAGAAACATCTGTAACAGAACATATGTGCAGTATTTAATCAGTAGCAACATCAACAAGTGGCATTGTCTCTCTGTGTAAATTACTGCGTAAATACAATTTATGTCACCTCTGATAATTTTTAGTTTCTTCTCCATTCACTGCAGGAAATCAGCAGCAAACAATTTACAAAAACTATCCATCTCTTCCAGCCAGAAAGTAACTAACTTTCTTGTTGATGTCAAGAGAGTTGATCCCACAAGAAGAAAATATAGGATGCTTTCCTTTCTTGTGGCACCAAGCCATGGTGTTTGTTGCCAAACTAGCTCATTTATCTTGTAGTGAGGAAAGCAATGTCTCTGTAAAACTCTTTGAGCCTGGAAAGGGTTTTTAGGAACCAAGCTGTTTTGCAGATGGTATGGGAGGACCATTCCAAAGATTTCACCATGATGGTATTTTGTTTGTTTGTTTGTTTGTTTTTGCCTTTTTAATCTTCCCACAATTCAAGCACATTGTGTATCCAGAAGTGATGTCATTCCCATTTGAAATGCATTTGCGATTAAGGATTAATGCATACATGTAAGTATTTATCAATGTCATCTAAAATAGCATTTTGTTTTGTAAGATACAAAGCCATTTTATTATATTTGCTTTCAAGTTCTGTCTTGATCAAGATTTTTTTCCCCAGCTATTCGGATGGAACTATTGTGTTGGAAAAGATGGAGAATACATTTCTGCATGAGCATAATTCAGAGCTCTACTTTGCACTACGTATAAAGGGAATTGCGGATCCTATATTCATTTCCTATATTCATTTTAGTTTTATTTATGACGTTTCCTTGTGAGCATTATTCTTTGTGCACTCCAATAAATACTTTTGGATAGCACCATGTATAGCAAAGAGAAGAAAAAGGTACTACTAATTTGAAGGATTTATAATGGATAAATATATGATACAAAAGGTACCCCAATGTCAGATAGTGTCCATTGAGGTTGACGGTGCAGAAATTAGGATAGATAACTGCATGTTAAACCAAAAATTTGAAGAAGTGGGAACCAACAATAAGCAGACCCACAAGTCCCAATAGTCATGTCCAATAAAAGGACAGAGATTAATGAACAGAGTTTAATGAAGATAAAATAATGTCAAGAAATAAATAATGTCAATATGAGTTTCAAACAAAGAATTTTGGGAGAAGGAGGGTTTATAGAAAGATAGGAAAAAAATCTACTGAACTTTAAAAATTACAATCTTGTAATTGGATTTTAAAATGCTTGGTTTTAACTTATTTATTACACATACAGTATATACAATATATACATACACACACACACACACACACACACATATATATATAAAGGGGGACTAGTATATATCTATTTCAAGCTATTTAGCTCTCATCAGCTAGCCATACCCTTACTCAGATTTGAACTTGGGCTGCCTGCATATTAGGCAGTTGTATTACCACTGAGCCACAAGTTCTCCTCCCTTCATCAACTTGATGAAAATAATAATAATAATAAATAATAATAATAATAATAATAATAATAATGTAGTCTTGGTGTATTACATGGTCTTTTCCCGTGTAAGATTGAGAGTATCTTGGCGACGTTTCGATGAGGTACACTCGTCATCTTCAGGCTGGTGTCTTCGACTTCGTGCATGTGCGAGCAAAGCATGATCGGATATGCCGTCTCTATAAATACTGGTGGGGAGGTGGGGAGTGCTGGCTTTGTTGTTGTAAGCGGGTTGGTTGGCTGTGTTGTTACATCTTGATTAGATGATGGAGTTGATGTTTGCAGATTAGTCTGCATACTAATACATACATAAATACCCATAACATGAATAAATGTGATGATACCTCCCGCCTACCAGACATCTGAAAACTAGCCCTAGTCAACAAATGATCCCTACAAAAATTGGCACCAGACCCAGGATATCACATGATGCCACCACCAATCATCCTCACCAGATTCAAACCCAATCCCATCCCATAGACGAAATGCAGCACCATCCAGGGGTCGGACTGCAGCGGCATCACCAGCTGCTGTGCCCCCCTCGATCCCCACTCAAAGCAAACTAACAAATGCCATGAGCACACGACAAGACCTCAGACTCGGAGCCAAACCAAAGCCCAGGATGTTGCATCACAGCCATCTGCTCAAGGCAATACCTCACAGAACTCAGGATGTTACAACACTAAAGCTCAGGATGTTACAACACAGCCAACTACCCAGGATGTTGCAGCACAGGATTCAGGATGTCACAACAATAGAGCTCAGGATGCTACCACACAACCCATTACCCAGGTCGTTAAAACACAAAAGACTAATGGGCACACAACTAGGACCTATTTTGTAACATCCTCACACAGGATGTTACAAAACAGCCGACTAATCTGCAAACATCAACTCCATCAATTTATCAAGATGTAATAACACAGCCAACCAACCCACTTACAACAACAAAGCCAGCACTCCACACCTCCCCACCAGTATTTATAGAGAGACGGCATCTCTGATCACGCTTTGCTCGCACAAGCATGAAGCTGAAGACACCAGGCTGAAGATAACGAGTGGGACCTCATCGAAATGTTGCCAAGATACTCTCAATCTTACATGGAAAAAGACCCGAATATGCCAAGACATTATATATATATATATATATATATATATATATATATATATATATGTATGTATGTATGTATGTATGTATGTATGTATGTATGTATATGTATATGTATATGTATATGTATATGTATATGTATATGTATATGTAATGTATATGTATATGTATATGTATATGTATATGTATATGTATGTATAAGTTTTTTACAAATAAATACAAATAAATAAGTAAATCTGAGCCATTTTGAAAAAAAATAACTATACAGAAAGAAAGTAACTAAGTTCCATATTATTCATGAATATCTCCCCAAGCCTAACCTGACTTCTTCAATAGCACAGATTTTTAAAAATTGAAGTAAAAACAACAAAAAGAATTGACTTATGAAAATAGCAAGAAATTCTGGGTTACTAAAACAGTTAAAGTGCTAATGTGGAAACCATTAATTCCCAGAAATAACCATTAAGTACAAGAACTCAGGAGTGGGCAATTAGTTTTCCCAAGGAGCCACATACAAAACTGGGACTATTATGGAGGCCTGAATTGAAAGGACTGCCACAACTTTTAGCTTTTATTCTTGATTAAACCTTGCTATTCTTGAGTTAATGTAGTTAGTAGATTTGGGATACAATCATCTATATCACCACTGGATGACAGCAATAAGAAGCAATAAGAATTCTAACTCCATGCTGGCATAGAGTGGTCCTTAGCCTTATATTTGTGAAGCTTCTTCAGTCTGGCTTCTTCAGGTGTTCCTGCTAACCCTTCATTTGTTGGTGAATAAAACAGATTAAAGATAGTCCTCATTTAGTGACAATAACTGGG